GTAGACAGAGAGAATAGGAACCAAAGAAGCTATGGTTTTCAGTCTCAAAATGTCTTTACTAATGGTCCTATTCGTTGCAAATGGGGAAAAGGAACCTTTACAGTGGACAGACCTGGAAACCACCACCTTAACCAAATAATTAATCAGTATCAAAGTGATGTTCTGTGCCTTGTGATACAATACACTGACTGGTAAGGACACAACTTCACTTGTAAAGTTCTCCTGCCAAAAATTCACAACCTGATTCTACTCAAGAGAAAACATCAGACAACCCCAAATAGAAGGACCTGGTGCAAAACAACTGCTCTGTATTATTCAAAATGTCTAATAGCACATGGCAGTAAAATGCAGTAGGTCCTGGACTGTTGGGGGTGGTGGTTAACTGAGGCGCTCCTCTTACAGCCCACTGTTACCTCGTCAGCTCCGTAAGCTGCAGCGTCTGGCCGCGTCCTCGTGCCACAGCTCCACGTCGCTTTCCGCACCTTCGTGAACTTAGAGTTCTCGCGAGACATCCGGGCACTGCAAGACTGGAGCGTCTAGCTCGCGGAGATCAACGCGATGGTGTTCCTGTGCACCTGCACAAAACCGCCAGCTTACTCAGATATAGCTGACGGAGTGGACTGCTGCTGGTCATCTGTATCAGAGGTATTTGAAAGTTCCTTATCAGAAGAAGTGTGCTTGGTACCCTCAACCCTCACCCAATTCTATAAAATAAGAAGCCTCAAAAACTTGGCCGGGCGTGGTTCCTCACGATGGTAATCCCAGCACTTGGGGAGGCTGAGGCGGGCGGATGGCTTGAGCCCAGGAGTTCAAGACCAGCCTGGGCAACATGGCAAAACCCCATGTCTACTAAAATACAAAAATTAGACAGGCATGGTGGTGTGTGCCTGTAGTCCCAGCTACTCGGGAGGCTGAAGTGGGAGGGTCACTTGAGCCCGGGAGGTGGAGACTGCAGTGAACCAAGATGGCACTGACACACTACTTCAGCCTGGGCGACAGAGCCAGAATCTGTCTTAAAACGAAACAAGGCCGGACGCGGTGGCTCACGCCTGTAATCCCAGCACTTTGGGAGGCCGAGGAGGGTGGATCACGAGGTCAAGAGATCGAGACCATCTTGGCCAACATGGTGAAACCCCGTCTCTACTAAAAATACAAAAAAAAATTAGCCGGACGTAGTGGCACATGCCTGTAATCCCAGCTACTTGGGAGACTGAGACAGGAGAATTGCTTGAACCCAGGAGGCGGAGGTTGCGGTGAGTCGAGAATGCGCCACTGCACTCCAGCCTGGGCAACAAGAGCGAAACTCCGTCTCAAAAAAAACAAAAACAAACAAACAAACAAACAAAAAAACGAAACAAAATCCTTTCTGTCACTTGCACGCATTTAGTTTGCATTGTACATTAGAAAGGAGGACAAGACAGCTGCCAGTCACAGTATTAACTGCTCTAGCTTTTAGCAGGAGATGAACTATACTAGGAAATTTCAAACTCGAAGTATGCCACATTTTTCCTCAGACCTATATTGTCTGAGAGCCTAAGAGAAAACATGAGACAGACACTAGAGATCCAATATATGACTTACTGACGTGTTGAAAACTCTGGAATAAAGGGAAAATAAGAAATATTTGAAAAAGAGAATAAAGTTTTCTTGAGCTCAAGAAAAATGTTTCAGGGCCGGGCGCGGTGGCTCAAGCCTGTAATCCCAGCACTTTGGGAGGCCGAGGTGGGTGGATCATGAGGTCGAGAGATCGAGACCAACCTGGTCAACATGGTGAAACCCCGTCTCTACTAAAAATACAAAAAATTAGCTGGGCATGGTGGCGCATGCCTGTAATCCCAGCTACTCAGGAGGCTGAGGCAGGAGAATTGCCGGAACCCAGGAGGCGGAGGTTGCCGTGAGCCGAGACCGCGCCATTGCACTCCAGCCTTGGTAACAAGAGCGAAACTCCATCTCAAAAAAAAAAAAAAAAGAAAAAGAAAAATGTTTCATCTTCAGATGAAAAGGCCCTGTCGTGGTCAAAGCAAAATTGACAAAAATTGCCCAATACCTGAATGGGAACAATGACATTTTAAATTTGAAAGGAAAAGAATGCCATAGATTTCCAGAAAAAAGGAAAGATTTTTCACAAAGCACATGATCAGACTTTGCCTGGGTATCACATGATACAGGATACACAAAGCAACATATATATATTTTCAAAGAGAAGGCTGTGTGTGACTCAGTAATTCTATATCAAGTCACATGTGAAAGCCAAAGAAATAATTCTTGCTTATATGTGGGCCTTGAAAAAATTTACTCACAGATGTACTATACATGACCGAAAGATTAACCAAAATAAAGACTTTTTTTTTTTTTTTTTGAGGCGGAGTTTCACTCTTGTTACCCAGCCTGGAGTGCAATGGCATGATCTCGGCTCACTGCAACCTCTGCCTCCTGGGTTCAGGCAATTCTCCTGTCTCAGCCTCCTGAGTAGCTGGGATTACAGGCACCCACCACCATGCCCAGCTAATTTTTTGTATTTTTAGTAGAGACGGGGTTTCACCTTGTTGACCAAGGTTGGTCTCAATCTCTTGACCTTGTGATCCACCCGCCTCGGCCTCCCAAAGTGCTGGGATTACAGGCTTGAGCCACCGCGCCTGGCCCCCTTTTTTTTTTTTTTTTTTGAGATGGAATCTCGTTTTGTTGCCCAGGCTGGAGTGCAGTGGTGCCATCTCGGCTCACTGCAACCTCAGCTTCCCGGGTTCAAGTGATCCTCCCACCTCAGCCTCCTATGTAGCTGGGATTACAAGTGTGTGCCACCACGCCTGGCTATTTTAAAAATATTTTTAATAGAGACAGGGTTTCACCTTGTTGGCCAGGCTGGTCTTGAACTCCTGACCTCAAGTGATCCGCCCTCCTCAGACTCTGAAAGCGTTGATATTACAGGTGTGGGCCACTGCACCCAGCAAAATAAAGACTTTTGAAGTAGAAGTACATGGTACAAGTCCTGGTGGTGAGTGAATAATTACTGTAAATATGGTTTAAAAGCCCTGCAAATGTTAAAAATAATTTGAATATTAACCTATTTTGTTTTAGAAAATTGCTTTTTGATAAGAATAATTTAGTTCCATAAAAAATTATTAAGACTCGTTAAAATTTGAATTAGGAGTACATACTAGATAATAGTAATATTTATATCACCATTACATTTTCTAAATTTGAGAATTTTACTGTGGTTACATTAGAGAATGGCATCATTCTTAGAAAATACATTCTTAGAAAGTACCACTGGGGAAAGGGACATACCCACACACTGTATACATACATATATATATATATATATATATATATATATATATATATATATATGTGTGTGTGTGTGTGTGTGTGTATATACACATATATACATACAGATATACATATTTTCACGTGTGTGTGTGTAACATACATATGAGAAAGAGAGCAAATGTGGCAAAACATTAGTAACTGGTGAAGCTGTATAAAGGGCATATGGGAGTTCTTTGTACTGTTCTTGCATATCTTCTACACATTTGAAATGATTTCAAAATACAAGTTTAAAACTAATTTTTAAAATATAGGGTCAGGATGTTATTAATATTCTGGTATGAGCCATTTCCATGCAGTGGTTGGGGCAGAAGCCAGTTCGAGTGAGTTTACTGAGTAAGAGATGAGAAAGTAGAGAAAATAGGAGGTGACTCTTGGAACCCTGGGAGAAATAACTTCTGAAATTCAAATATTTCACCTACTTTCATATTAGGGTTTCATAGTTTGAATTTTCTGAGGCAGATCACACTTATATGCAAGCTCAGTTATTTAAGTACCCCTATATATTCATTCTATGCTATAATGTAACAGGACATAAATTCTTCAGGGCTGCCATCATTTTAAACTAGAAAGAGTCATCATGTGAGGAAAGAGAAGTACCAGCATCCCAAAGATGCTGTTTGTTGTGAGTAATGACAATGCTGCATTCTTTCCAGTCCCTTCCCTTGGAAAGTATTTAGTTCCTGCAGGCCTAGACAGGACTCTTGGGTAGAAACAAAAGTGACTGTTTTATTGGCTCTGACTCTTAATGGCTACCTCATTATACTCTTTACTCATGAAACTGAATGGAAATGATTGTATAAACACATTATATGATATTACTGATAATCACACCCACCATGGCTGCTTCTTGGCTGTCCAGCTAAATGTTAAATTACCTGCTATGTCAGGGAGGGGAGAAAACTGGACCCAAAGAAAAACATAGGGAAGAGATAGGCTGTCAAAATAAAAATGTTTGGTGGGACAGGGGAAATCGGAAGATCTGGTCAAACGTTACGAAGTTGCAGTGATGTAGGATGAATAAATGGAGAGATCCAATGTACAAAATAAAGACTATGGTTAATAATATTGTATTGTATACCAGAAATTTGCGGAGAGATTTTCTGTATTTTTACCACAGAAAAAAGACGGAAATAAGGATAACCATGTGAGACGATGGATATTTTAATTTGCTTGCCTATAGTAATCACTTCATTGTGTATATGTAGATCAAAACGTCATGTTGTATACCTTAAATATATACAATTTAAAAAGATAGGGACGCTTAGGGGAACTTCAATTTGTGGTTAAAGTGCTTTTAAAATATATGAGGGGCCAGGCGCGGTGGCTCACGCCTGTAATCCCAGCACTTTGGGAGGCCGAGGCGGGTGGATCACGAGGTCAAGAGATCGAGACCATCCTGACCAACATGGTGAAACCCCGTCTCTACTAAAAATACAAAAAAAAATTAGCTGGGCATGGTGGCGCGTGCCTGTAATCCCAGCTACTCAGGAGGCTGAGGCAGGAGAATTGCCTGAACCCAGGAGGCGGAGGTTGCCGTGAGCCGAGACCGCGCCATTGCACTCCAGCCTGGGTAACAAGAGCGAAACTCCGTCCAAAAAATATATATGTATATATGAGGAAGTCGTCAGAACGCGCTCTCAGCTTCGGGTTCTGCCTCTGAGGCTTCTGCCATCATGGTGCGGAAGCTTCAGTTCCACGAGGAGAAGCTGCTGAAAGCAGGTGGACTTCCTGAACTGGGAGGTCACCGGTCACAGCCTGCACGAGCTGCGCGTGTTGCGGCGTTTACTGGCTGCAGCCACTGGAGGACCACACGCACTACAACCAGCTGAGCCGTGCCATGCGTGAGCTGGCGAGGCGCCTGCGCGACCCGCCGGAGCGCGACCCGTTCCACATACGCGCTTCCGCCGCGCTGCTGGACAAGCTGTATACTTCCGGCCTGGAACGCGCAGTTCGCTGGAGCTCTGTGACTTCGTCACAGCCTCGTTCTTCTGCCGCAGCCACCTTCTCACCGTGCTCCTCAAGCTGCGGTGGCCTTTGTGGAGCAAGGCCACATACACGTGAGCTCTGACGTGGTTACCGACCCCGCCTTGGAGGACTTTGTCACTTGGGTTGACTCCTCCAAGATCAAGTGGCAGTGCTAGATAGAGTACAACGAGGAGCGCGATGACTTTGACCTGGAAGTCTAGCGGCTCTCCCACTCTCCACGGTTGTCTTTTACAGATGGGGAAACTGAGGCCTGATGCTGGAGATTCTCTGAGGGTGCTCTCCCCAAGGGTGTCAGACGGTCGTAGGTTCTTAAGAACTTGATTCATCAATGGCAGGTCATGCACAGAGCCACAGGAGGTGCGTCCTTGTTTTCCAGGAAATGTTCCTAGAACTTGGACTACTGATTTTTGTGCCTGGGGAAACAGTGGGAAGTAACTTGGTGCTGCTCTGGGGTATTGTTGGCTTCTTGCGTTGGAAACTTTGTAATGTAAAAGCAAAAACCACAAGTCCCCACGCCCTATTTAGCTTTATCGTCTTGTAGCTGGACTGGTTCAATTCGTTTAACTCAAATTCTTGTTCCTGGCCATGGTTAAGCTGTGTGGAGATGATGGAGAGTTTGGTGGGCTCAAGTTTTTATAAATTGAGTGAGACTAGTGTGTTCAGGCCCTCCCTTGTTTAAAGGAATGCTTTCCTAATGCCAGTAAATGCCTCAGCTGCTTTGTAAGTGCAATATATATATATATATGGAACATTTAAAAATACATATGTAATTCTGATATCTCAGAAACAATAATTTTCATTTGTTTGCAGTTCCTTTAAACTTTTTTCTTACGAACATATTGTTTCTAAGTTGATTAGGCAATATATATTTTATGCATTTATATATATTGTATATTATGGAACATTATTTTAGAAACACTTTCTCTTGATTTTATATTTTTACCATAAAAGTTTTAATAGCTAGGCCAGGCTTGGTGGCTCACACCTATAATCCAAGTACTTTGGAGGCCAAGGCGGGTGGATCACCTGAGGTCGGGAGTTCAAGACCACCCTGACCAACATGGTGAAACCCGGTCTTTAAAAAAAAAAAGAAAGAAAGACAAAAAAAGTTTTAATAGCTATGTTATATCCCATTGTGCTTATACGTAATATATATATATTTAATAATTTCTTATTGAATGTCAATGCTGTTTATTTTTATCTATCTATTTTTGAGATAGGGTCTTGCTCTGTTGCTGAGACTGGAGTGCAGTGGTGCGATCTCGGCTCACTGCAACCTCCGCCTCCCTGGTTCAAGTGATTCTCCTGCCTCAGCCTCCCAAATTGCTGTTATTACAGGTATGCACAACCATATCCCGCTAATTTTTTTTGTATTTTTAGTAGAGACGGGGTTTCACCATGTTGGCCAGGCTGCAATGCTGTTGTTGTTTTTTAAATAACTGTTGTAAAGGTCTTCATACATGTGGATTTTTCTCCTTTTAAATTTTCATATTTCTTCAATTCCAAGATACATGTTTTTCTTATTTTACATATTATATATCAGGATTCATTTTAGTATAAAGATGGCCGTATTTTTTCTTTAAAATATATTATTAATATTGTATCTTAAAATGGAAACTGTCTTAGAATTGGAGAAATACAGTAGTTCTATAGTATAAATTAAGAACAGAGGGTTTGCTGAGTCAAAACAAATTTATGATACTTGATAAGTGTATGAGAATATCTTCTAAAGGAATTTTGTTGCTATTTTCTACAGTTTTGCTAGCATGAGATTTGACTTCTCTTTGATTTTTAATAGTTTTAATAAATGCAGATGTTTTCTCATTATTTTAATTTTAATTTACTGAGCTATTCTACTCTTCATATGTGGAAGAGTTTGGGTATAAAAATAACAAAAGGCAACATTTGAAGACTTCTCATAAACAATTCAAAAGGAAAAACCTTGATAATTAGTAATTTAAGAGGGAAGAAGTGAAAGGTACTGGCTCTTCCCTTTCCAAGTTATTATGTCTGTTTCTCTGCCATATGCAAAATTGGAAGGATTCTTGTGATTTATTTATAGAATTATAGGGTTTTTGAGCTAGTTAAACCCTTAAGGATCATCTGGTTGACTCCCACATTTTATGTATATGATTAAGTAAAAACCCAGTGAGATTCAAATTGTTCAAGATTTTACAGCTAATAAGTGCAAGGGCTGAAATTTGAAACCAAGGTTGCAGACCTTTCTACCAGGCACACTGCCTGTTTGGTGAAAATTCCACTTGAGGGCTAATGGCACATCTGCCAGCCCTTGACATTTAGGCTGGACAGTGTAAGATTTAGGTTTAGGATATTACTAATTCTTACTAATAAAGTACTCAAGAAAGTGGATGATCTCAGATTTAAGATTATAGAACTAAATATGAAAAAAATTGCCTATATCTAAATATGTTGCACAAAAGTAGAAGTATATATGCTACACTTCCTGTAGCAGGCTTATGCAATGAATTCTGAGTAACGTGTCTTAAGCCTAGTAATTCAGGTTGTCGGTGACTAAGCCCTCTGGAAAACTGAATCACTATTATCTTAAATTTTTCTCACTGTAGATTTAGTCTCATTGCTTATTAACTATTGCTCACCTTTTCCAAACCAAATTAACATCCCAATTTTTCATCTACAAGATGGCATATTTTTATCCCATCATCTTTATTACTGTTATTTCCAGGCATTCAGAATTTTATAAAATGTTCCTACAACTGGTAACCCAAGTCACAGGCTTTATCGGTCTGTGACAACAAAATTAACTCATACTTCCATTTCAAACCCAAACTCATATGGCACAAGTTCAATTCAGCATAACTACTGGAAACTGGCCCTATTTAAGTTGCTTCCCAAAAAATTTCTAAGGTCCCAGGGTAATACCTTGCAAATATTCAGGACTGGTCACCATCTTCTACGCCTGCTTCTTTGTTTTTCCTCTGGGCAGGAATGCTGATGGACACCACTCTCCTCCCCTGGTGACAACTATTGATGCATCCCTACTGTGGCAAGGTTAGTCCCTCTCCAGATTTCCCATATCTAAGCTGCAATGAAATCATACTCTTTAAAAAACATATTGAAGATTCCAGGAAAAAGAAACTGAAAATAGAGAATAACTTCCAACAGCCAAGAGAAGTAGATCTTTAGAGATAACAAGTCCAAACCCGAAATATGAAGCCCTGCCTAATTCCCAGCAGTCCATCATGTAGCAGGGAGGCAGCTCAAAAGGAAAGCGGTAACTCCAGGTATCTCCTTATCTTGGAGTTCAGGTTCCATGCCCCCCAGCTTAAAGAAAGAAGTCCTTCAAATTCTCTCAAGCCTAAGCTAGGCTTTATTTTCCTGCCCTGGAATTTTTCTTTTCCCATATGTGAGGTGGTAGGAATCCTGTAGTCTACCCACTCAAAGGATTGAGCTTCATAGCTTGAACAAGATAATGACAATCATAGGCAGTATATTTTCCAAAGTCTGGCTTGTGCATTCTTAAAATTACCTAATTGTAAGAAGAAACTGTGCTTTAGTGGGAAACTGCATTGTCTAGCATAGAGGTTACCCCTCTGGGTTACTGAGTCTATGGGAGCTATTTTACAGTGCTGTAAATTATTGATGACTGATATCAATGCAAAACACTTGTTTATAGACATCAAATTGTTTCCTGTACAGTAGAGGGATAGAATTTCAATCAGCTTCCTTTTCCTACTGTGAAAAAAGGCTCTTTTTGCCCCAATTTGCATATTCATTTCCCTAATTCTCATCTATAACTGTGCCTGTTCTTTGGATTCGCCTTTGAACTGGCTGATACCTTACCATTTTTCTTATTAATGAGTCAAATAAAATCTTTAACACATATTCATTTGTGTTGTATAGGAGAGTCATGATTTTACCACCAAAAACTTAGCTTTTACACTGTGTATGAGACCCTAAAGTATGGTTAGTTTTTGCTACATCAAGTTTGGTAGCATGTCTATCCCCACATGTGACTGGGGTTAAAAATCACCAGGTCAGAACCACTGATCTTAGGTCCCCTAAGATAGCTCCTTCTAGAGTAAAGGGAGGTTCTCCTTAAGGATAAATGAATATATTTAACCAATATATATCAGCTTGGATGGGTCTCAGTGGTAATGTTGAGGGAACACAGCTAAATTGCAGAATGTTTTCTGCAGCATGATACTATTTATATAAATCTTAAAATTACAAAAACTTGTATATTGTTTATAGAAACATATATTAAATAAAATCATAAAACCATCAACATGGAGAATACATATCAATTGAATGAGTATGCTTGCCTCTGAGAAAAGAGGGAAGAAATTAGACAGATTAAGATTACAAAAGAAAATTCAACTGTGTCTATAATGTTTTGCTTTTTTAAGACATCTAAAACAAATACTACCCAATGTTATTTTTTCATTCCAGCAAATGCATATATGAATATTATGTTATTCTACAAACTTTACTGTAAATTTGAAAGAAATCCATAATAAGAAATGAAAAATGCAGCTTAAATTTCAAATAATGTTCTTTGAAGCTGTTGTCATTAATTTTCCAGTCATCTACTGCTTTATGTTATTCATACTGCTTGTTGCCTCCATGATTATAGGTAGCTGTGAGCTGGCAGTGTTTTATAGAGCAATTTCCTGGCTCAGAATCTAATGACAGCCATAATATTAATGTTCTCACCCTGTATTTGTGGAGTGCTTTATCTTTTCTCAGTACTCTTACATCTATCTTCTCTTTTTATATTCACAACTTCTCTCACTATCAGTCTTAGTCTCAACTATATTTGCCATGTATTAATAAATGTATTAAAAATGCTTCTATGAATGTTTTTTTCTTTGGAAGCTACCTGAGTTTAGGTTACCCTAGATACCAACCCTGAGAGATTGGATTCTAGTTCAGGCAGTTTATTTCAGAAGTGATCCCACAGAACTCTGGTAGGGGAAAGGAGACGAGGAAGGGAAGAAAGCTAATCAACAGCACATCATAAAGTAGGTTACAGCTGAGGGCAATTGAAGCTCAGTCCTGCTCATTTGTTTACAGGTTATCTATGTGGTTTTTATGCTATGGTAGAATGGAGTAGTGGTGACAGAGGCCTGAAAAGCCAAAAGTATTTACTATATGGACTTTTACAAGAAAAGTCTCCTGACCTCTGCTGTATACTAGAAGAAAAGTTTATGTTTTCAAGCATTTTGAGAGCTTCCAGTGTGAGCACATGTATAAGAAGGAAAATGTCAATTACTACCCATAAAAATTATATTTTTATGGAATAAGTTAGGGCAAAAATTGAATTAAGAAGAAAAACCTTTTTCCATAAAAACAAACATTGGCAATTTGCCCTAAAATATATATAAAGATTCAAGAAGAAATTTGAGGCAGTTACATCTCTACTGTGTAATGAATTGTAAACTCCTAGTTTAGATATGGAAAATAGTAATCATTTATTGTTCCAAACCCCAACTAATTAAAAATTGTGGTTTTAAAGGTCTAAGACTGTATTCAGGCTTAGTGAAACAGAGTGCCATAATTGATGAGCAGTGTCTGAAGTGAGCACAGGAAGAGATAGTGGTGGCCAATACTGAATGCAAAAAATAAGCACAGCTACCTGCCATGAGATGGGAGGAGAAAAAAACCAGAGAGGAAAGGGAACACTTAGTCTTCCTGTGATCTCAAAGACATAAGGAGGGCCGATAAAAGACTCTTTATGCACCAAGCAGG